TGGTTTGGCCAGGTATTTTTTTTAAGGAACCTGGAATTATATTCCAAATGCATTTCACAATCCATGAAGATACTGGAAATGTTTGTAAAGGAAAATCTGGAGATTTCCTCCCTTATATCTAAAAGATAATGACTATAATTCTAAGTGAATATGGCTTCCTAAAACATTTTGTTCAAAAGATTGTGATCCTGTAAAGTCTTAGATATGTTCCAACCTTTCCACAGTAGTTTGAGCAGTGACTGAAGGTGCTGCTATGGAAAGTTAAACATGTCCATATAACTTTAAAGAACTAGCTAGTCTTAAAGAAGTAAAGAATGGTAAATTTATGGTTTCTGAAGCATGAACATTGTAAACATCTAACTCATATAATACAGTTATTTTACTATGAGTAACACCTAAAATCTATTTTGTAATGTACTAAGTCCTGTGTACACTTATTTGGGATAAATGATATTTACCTCTGGGAGACTTCCAAGTGAACATGCATAGGATTGTTCTCAAAATGCTTCCTCCCAGCCCAACATAAGCCTGTGGTTCCTGTAATGAGTGCAGCCCTGTTGTGGGAAAAATAATGCCAAGTTTTGTGTGGAGATATCAGCTGAACCAAAATGTCATTCTTCAGAGATGGGCAAGGCACAAACACATTTAGGATGTGGTGCTTTGCCTTATAGATTTGACACATAGTTACCTGTCAGAATGGCCTGTCAGCCTTCACTGGAAGGAGGATCAAACAAGAGTTTTCTCCAGTCTGACCGTGACACTTCTAAAATCTGCTCTGTACTCATTTCTAAAACGTATGAGAGTGAAAACTTTATGATCCTGGGGAACTTGCCTTATTTGGAGGGAAAACATCTTGGTTTAAGCGAGCCAGAAAGCATGTTTTTTATTTATTTCCTATGTTTTGTACATCCCAACCCCAGTTTCCCCTACTTCACTTTTGTGTGTGCTTAGCAATAAGTCTTTTAAATAGGATATTTTAGTCTGAGAAAAAAGTGCTTCCCCACTCTATATGCCAAAAAGAAGTGGCATTCTGACAGGCAAGGGAGGGTTGAAGCTACAGGACTGTGTAGCCACAAAGTAATGTTCAGACCTGGAGCTTTAACAGATAGATTGAAGAAAAAATTGTACCAGATGTACTACAACTGCTGAAGGAGACTGGCAAGGTATGAAAGATTGGGTGTTTGTGTGTGATTTTGGATTGCTCTATACCTTTAATAGTAGCTTGACCTGGAGTATCCTACAAACTAAGCTTTTCTCAGCAAAAGCTTTCAGTGGCAAAAATCCCAGCTGCTGTTAAAATGGCAGGGGCTAGTAAAAAAATCCCTACATCTATGTGTACATTAGGTAAAGGTAAAGGTTCCCTTGCTCGAAAGCCAGTCGAATCCGACTCTAGGGTTGTGGTGCTCATCTCCGTTTCAAAGCCGAAGAGCCAGCGCTGTCCGAAGATGTTTCCGTGGTCATGTGGCCGGCAGGACTAAACACCAAGGCGCACGGAACGCTGTTACCTTCCCACCGAAGTGGTACCTATTTATCTACTTGCAATTTCTTGCTTTCGAACTGCTAGGTTGGCAGGAGCTGGAGCTAGAGATGGGAGCTCACTCCATCATGCGGCACCCGGGTCTCGAACTGCTGAACTACTGACCTTCGACAGCCTGCAGTTCAGCGTCTTAACCACTTGAGCCACCACAGCTCCTATGTTTACATTAGGACCCATGTTATTCAAACATCATTTAATGTAAACAGCTAGGTAACTATAAATTGCATTTGATACTAAATAATACCAATAATATTAAGAACATAAGAGACCCCAATGTTGGATCAGGCCAAAGGCCCATCCAGTCCAACACTCTGTCACACAGTGGCCAGAAATACCAGGTGCCATCAGGAGGTCCACCAGTGGGGCCAGGACATTAGAAGCCCTCCTACTGTTGACCCCCCCAAGCACCAAGAAGACAGAGCATCACTTGCCCCAGAGCCCCTATCTATACCTTGCGGCTAATAGCCACTGATGGACCTCTGCTCAATATGCTTATCTAATTCCCTTTTGAAGCCGTCCATGCTTGTAGCACCCACCACTTCCTGTGGCAGTGAATTCCATGTGTTAATCACTCTTTGGGTGAAGAAGTACTTCCTTTTATCCGTTCTAACCCGACCGCTCTGCAGTTTCATGGAGTGCCCACGGGTTCTTGTATTGTGAGAAAGGGAGAAAAGTACTTCTTTCTCTACCTGTTCGTTCCTGTGCATAATCTTGTAAACCTCAATCATGTCACCCCTCAGTCATCGTTTCTCCAAGCTAAAGAGCCCTAAGCGCTTTAACCTTTCCTCATAGGGAAAGTGTTCCAACCCTTTTATCATTCGAGTTGCCCTTTTCTGCACTTTTTCCAAAGCTATAATATCCTTTTTAAGGTGTGGTGACCAGAACTGCACACAGTATTCCAAATGAGGTCTCACCATTGATTTATATAGGGGCATTATGATATTGGCTGATCTGTTTTCAATACCCTTCCTAATAATCCCCAGCATAGCATTGGCCTTCTTTATTGCAGTCACACACTGTCTCGACATTTTCAGTGAGTTATCTACTACAACTCCAAGATCTCTCTCTTGATCAGTCTCTGCCAGTTTAGACCCCATCAATGTGTATTTATATTTAGGATTTTTGGCTCCAATGTGCATCACCTTGCACTTGGCCACATTGAACCCCATTTGCCATGTTGACGCCCACTTGCCCATCCTTGTTTCAGCATTGTCAAAAACAGTGACCCAGCTTACTGGGAAGGAAGAATGCTTTCATCCCTGGATGTAGCTTTGTTTTTCTGTGCTCAGAATGAGGTAACTGTAGTCTAAACAAGAGTGCTGGCTCCTTCCCCAGCATACTACTGTTTGAATTAGTCGCTTTCATCTTGAAATTCCACTTGGCTGCACATACACCAAATGGTCCTCTTAAACAGAATAGGTGTTTTATAGTGGATGCAATACTGTATCACAATACACTTATGTCACATCTGGGTTTTTGGATGGACTGAACCTTTTTTCCACAGTGGTCTGGAGAGCAAGGATGAAAGATTGGGCGTAGAGGGAGCCCGCCTACCATAAGTGGGCACTTGGCAACCCTGGCACTGAGGCAACCTAAGCAGGTCTACTCAAACATAACTCTCATTATTCCATAGGGCTTACTCCCATGGAAAGTGCCCTTAGGAGTCAAGCCTGAGTGACTTGCAGTTCCATCCTCAGCAGAGTTACACCCATTGAACCTCACTGATTTAAAAGTGTGTAACTGTGCTTGAAGAGAGTCACTGCTGCTTGAAAGCCCCATCTAACATATTCACAGCTAAGTAGATGTCAGAACTCAGCTGTCCTAGATTTGTGCCTGGCCCTGTCTATTAGCCTATAGTTAACATCAATGTGTCAGTAATTCATGCAATGATTAATCTGTAACAATATTCCAGGTGGAGGCAAATAAAAATCTGCAAAACTTCTCCACAAGAATGGTGTGTGTGTGTGTGTATATATATTCACAAGTATGGTATATATGAAGAATTTTTCCTTGAAAATGAGTTATGCAAGACAAGCGAAGGGCAACTGCTGGGGAGTTGTGGGCGGGGGCAGAGCAAAGTATATTGTGTGTCCTGTCCTTCAGATGTTAGAAGGACCTTTATATGGTAAGGTACATCACACTCACATTTGGAAGGTGGCATGATGGTGTCAAGTCAAAAACATTTTGCTCACAAGTCCAAGAGCTTTCAATGAGATTTTCTGAAACATGATAGAATGGCTAGCTTGTAAATAAAACAAAAACCTGCTCCGGGATGAAGTCAGAGGCAGGCTTGACCAGTCAGAGACCAAAACTTGTTTATGGCAGATCAGCCAGTTGAATCCTGGTAGGTTTTGACTAATCACAGACAAGATCTGCTGGTTTTGGCAAACTAGTGGACAGATCCTAGTAGTGGTAGGATCAATGGAAAATATTACATTCTCCTGGTTTATTCAATGGAATACATTATACTAAACTGGTAGTTAAAAATAATTGATGATCATTAGCAATTCTAGATACCAAGGCTTGTATTAACAGGTTGAGGTCAGTCAGGAGTGATGGAAGACACTCTGCACAGATTCTGAGATGCTCTCTTCTCTGTTAGTGCTGCGTTCAAATCACGTGTTTAGGATGGAGTTGTTTCATTAACATATATTATTATATTGTATTAACATTTTATTTTATTAACAAAAGAAATATATGTTTTTATTTTCAAGAGACATGCGCTTGTCCAGGAAACTCAAAGTTCTATAGAAATATGGAGAAGCCCATGAAGAAAATTCCAACGGGGAAAAGATCGTCCCCACGTTGATTATTGAAGAACATCTGATCCTTCCTGTTGAGTTTACAGCTGCAAAATAAAAGAAGAATCCAGTAGCATCTTCCGGAGACTCACAAAAGTTATTCCAGTGTTCGTGAGTCCGAGTACATTCACTGGACGCCCAGCTATGCACTTTATCCACCTGCTTGAAAACAGCCCGCGAAAACCTACCCTGGAATAAAGGTTCAGTCTCCAAGGTGCCTATGTTAGTTTGAAAACCCCATCGGTCATCCCTGTTTGCAGACGCGTTGAACCAGCGAAGCATGGCCAGAGCGGAACCCTAGTTCCACCTCCTCCAAACAGGTCCCCGTCGCTTCAAGCGCGCTCTCGCCCTGGGAAGAGGGCAGGAACAACCAGTTTGTTCCCTCCGGGCGAGTTTCAGGTGAACAGGTCACGCACACCCCAAGAGGCAGCACGGCACAGGGGCCCACCCATGCCTTGGGCTGGCGGGAGGCCCTCTGCAAGTGGAGGGGCGCGCTGGGCACCTCCCACTGCGCGCATTCCAAGAGAGGCGCTTCCCTGCTCGGGACTGGCTGAGTTGGTCTGGGCGTATGGTCGCCTCTCCCGCCCCCTCCCTTTCTTCAGGTATGCAAGGCAGTGCGCATGCCTTGCACCTGGGTGTGGCCTGTGCGCCTCTGTTGCTGGAGGAGGAGAAGGTAGAGATGCAATTCTTTAAGAGCGACTGAGCAGGTTGGCAGAAAACTCTCGTCCCGGTTCCCAGGTAAGTTTCTTCGTGAGCGGGATTTCCTGGACCGGCTTCTCTTCCCTTCCCTTCGCGATGGCCAAACCCAGTCTGCCTGAATACGGTTTGGGTTTCAGTGACTTAAGTGACTGTGAACCCCAGCCACGCTGATTGCGACTAGTTTGTTTAGTTATTCTCTGAAGTGGCTTGTTGTGATTGATACATGTCGCGTGTGGTCGGTTGGCCGGCCGGGCGAAGGAAGAGGGAGGAAGCAGCCCTTGGCGCCTTCCATGTCTCCGAGATGAACGTGTACTACACGTGAATGAGGTTTGAGTTGCTTTTAATGCAAATATTTCTCGAACCCTGATTTTATCTTGAGCAGTTGAAAGAGGTTAAGCATCTTCAGCCTAGTGGCTAGATTTAGTGGTGGCCTAGATTTGCTGATTGCTATATCCAGTTCAAATGGAGCCAGTTCTCTAATAAGTACTTGGGCTTTTCTCATTTGCTGGGCTGTGATCTTTGAGAGAGCTGTTGTAAGCAAAGCTCTCCTTCTGGGTACTGATCTCGGAGAACAGTTAAATCTGGTGGATAATTGGTATTCTTCAGTATTTGAAGATTTTACCCCAAACTGCCAGCCTTCTGTAAAATTGTGCTGCCATTGTGTCACTTTATTCAGCATTCCTTTAATAAACACATGTTCCAATGCCACTTGCACAAGAATGCAATTGGTTTAGTTGCATTAATCAATAGGGAGCAACTGCTGTATTTAAAGCAGCTAGAATGGATTGATCTTGATATACATGCAGCTTCCTTCTTCTCTGCTCCAGTCAGTGGTGGTGGTAGTTTACCCCACCCCTTCACACACTGCTGTCCTTGGAGGACATAATATGTCTAACTTCTCTGCTCTCTCACTTCTCTTTTACAAAGAGCAGATCCGTGTATGCTCTATAGGGCTTCCTATGCTCTTTTGAGTTGACTGTCTCACAGATTTGGCCACCATTTTGCTTGCCTTGGCAACAGGAATCTAGAAATGGTGGCTACATTCTTATTAGAAGGAATAATGCTACCTCCCCAAATAGGTTGTAGAGCACTTTATTTATAGAATCAGCCCTGGTTCCAACACAATAGTTTGAGTTGACAGTGAGAAAAATGACTTTATGGGCGCTTTGTGCTTATAGGCTGTTTTTGAGTCACTGTTTTCTTGATTCCAAAGGCTTTTATGTTAAGGGCCTAACTTAGCAGTCAGTTAGGGCTGTCAGCCTCCAGGTTGGGCCTGGAGATCTCCCATCTTCACAACTGATCTCCAGCTGACAGAGATCAGCTCCCCTGGAGAAAATGGCTGCTTTGAAGGGTGGACTTTATGGCATTGTACACTGCTGAGGCCCCTCCCCTCCCCAAACCCCACCCTCTCCCAGATCCACCCCCAAAGTCTCCAGGCATTTTCCAACCCAGACCTGGCAACTCTACAGTCAGTACTGAAAACCATTTGAGAGCTTAATGGCTCTGATTGTTGAGTACAGTGGCTCAGAACTTCTAGTGAGTTGGAGGCGTCCCGTGGGCACATCATCAGGTGCGACATGTTGTAAATAATGCAGTAGAAAGCTATGAAAGTTTGCCTTCAGGGCCAAGAAGGGCTGAGATTGGAAAGGAGATCCTAAAAGCATGGTTTTCTCAAAGTTTAGGAACTAGTTCTGTAAGTAGACCTTCTATAGAACTAAATTATTGCATAAGTGTGGCCTGGTAGAATGCATTGAAACCACAACTACTGTCGATAGTGTGATCCAGCTACATTTTTTAATCTGATTGTTCTTAATATTTTTATTTCAAGGCTATGGCAAACATTTTTCAGTTAATAGTATGGGTATTGTTCAAGGAGTTATTTCTCACTGTATTCATGTTCAGCAAGTTACTAAAAGAGCAACTTTGTTTAGAGTACAGGGTTGCGATTATTATGTCTATTTTAGCTGTCCAGAATGGGCAGCCAGATTCTCAGATCTAAGTGCCAGCATGTTGGGACTGCTGGCCCTGCAGAAAGAGAATATGTGACAGACGCCTCCAACAAAGTGCTGAGAACAATAGTAATTGTACTGGTGCTCATTGTAAACCCACTGCATAAGAAGAGCCCTGCTGGATCAGGCCAGCAATCCATCAAGTCCAACTTCCTGTCTCACAGTGGCCAGCTCTGGAGGGCCAACAACAGGGCCTAGAGGCCGAGACCTTCCCCTGATGTTGCCTTCTGGCACTGGGATTCAGAGGTTTAGTGCCTCTGAATGTGGAGGTTCCCCTCAGTCACCATGGTGAATAGCTCCTGATGGACTTTGTTCTCCATGACTCTGTCTAATCCCCTTTTAAAGCTGTCTATGCCTTTGGCCATCACTGCAAGCCACCAATCATGGAGTGTTGTGCTGCTGATACCCCCATGATAAGCAGACTGAGAAAACCCACTGGTGCATGCTGATGTGGCTGTGTTCCCTTGACATCAGGTCACTGCCAGTCATATGCAGAACACCAAAGGAGAGAACAAAGGGCAGGGCTGGCATCTGCAGAAACTGATGTAGAGCAGCTGCTAGAGCCCAGGGCTTCTCACGGGGCCACTAGGGCTTGCCCACATGCTGTCCCTGCTGCCTGCTAACCTGCCTCTCCCTCCTGGTTTCTGCAAGCATTCTGCCACCCATATTCCCAGGCGTATGCACCTTGGTTGCCATTTGCCTGGTGGCAGTGAACAAGCTCCTGTCCTCAGTCCCTTGCCCTTTTAGTGGTGGGAGAAAAATGAGGTTGGGAACAGTTTTTACCATAGAGATTGGGGAAATCCCTAGAGTGGTGGTAATAACTATGTGGCTCGTGGAGAATTGCATTTGCAATTATCAACCAAAAGAGCCACATTTACTGTCATCCCTGGCACGAGGTCTGCACCTTACAGAAGCTCTCAGCTTCCCTGCTCCTCCAGTGGTGGCTGTTTCAAGGTGGAAATGACCTGCCAGTTACAAGCTGTGCCAGAGAAGGGCCTAGCCCACTCTCCTGAAACATGGAACAGGCGCCACTTTGGGGAATGGTGCTCAGAAGAGCCACAGGTGGCCTGTCCAGGAGCCACCTGTGGCTCCCAGTCCACTCACTGAGGTATCACTGCCCTACAGCATCACTGGGAAGTGACATCACGACTAGTGATTTCTCCACACATGGGTAATATCACTTCCAGGTGATGTTGGGAGAATTCCTAGAGGGGCACAAAGGCATACCCAAAGTTACTGCTTGAAGTCCCACATGTGTCTAGGGAGGCTTAGAAATTAGTCCCACCTGGCACAGCTGAGATTTTGCTCTATTAAACATTATTACTCGTGCTGATTGGCTGTACCGCATGCCCATAATTTTGTCTGGCTAGCCCCCACACAGTATCTCTCTGCTACACGTAGGAGGCTAATTACTGCCACCCTTCCCATTTTGCCCCAGCAGTGATCTGGAACAGTGAGTAACATGAAGATTTATCCCACCTTGCAAGAGCATCTCTATGCACCCATTGGACCAGTCCCTCCCAGCATCAGTTGCATGGTGAAGACAGCTGAGGTCCATAACAAAACAGGGGGAGGGATTGTCATCTCTCAGACCTCTACAACATTCCATGCATTTATTGATAAGCATCAGAAATGCTGAAAGCCAAACAGATAAATAGGGTTTCCAACTCTTTTGTTCCAGCAAGGATCTTGTGCCTCTTCCAGCTGCACTGACATACCACCGGATATCATGCCATGCCCATGAGAGGATCAACTGTGCTTGCATTACTGCAAGAGCTAGGCTAAGAACAAGAGTTGCCAGCCCCATGCAGGGCTGGAAGCATGTTGGTAACTGTGGCTACTGCTTTTGTAGTACGTTTGGCAGATGGTTGGCACTGCGCAGTGACTGGAGTCCATCTTGGCTCTCCTGTTGTTGAATGGCTTCCTGCAAAGGGTCTGAAGAGCCACAATGGCAGTAATGTTTCGCAGCAGCAAAGAACAAGTGGCCTTCAGATCAGCATGTGGTACAGTTGCAGGTTCCGTGGCACTCCCCTCCATTCTGGGGGTTTCCATATGATGGACTGTGCCAGTTAGGGGATGTGGTATAACCACTGAGCTAGCACTTACACGCGCATTCCGGTTGTAGGGAATTGCAGTGGAACTGTGTGCTCTGTGTAGTGTTGTGGGGGGGGTTGTGGAGCATTCTGGGGGTGGGCAGGGATGTCATCGATGTGATGACATCACTTCTGGAAGTGGCGTTATTGCATTGGTGATGTTGGGGCAACACTCTGCTTTTTGGGCAAAACTCTATGGTAAAAATGGCTACAAACCATAGAGTTTTGTCCAAAAAGTAAAACGCCGCTGCCATCACTTCCAGAAGTGATGTCATCACGTCACCATCAATGAGGAAAGTCTTTTTTGGGGTGGGGTTTCCCCTGACAGCCGGCTGGCTGGTGGTGGGCCCAACCCCACAAAAGCGGGGGATCCCCCACCCTCACCTGAGGGCTGGCAAGCCTAGTTCTGGGGCTTCTCTATGGAGCTGTGATCCTGCAAGGCAATAGACAGTATGGGTGCTTGACCAGAAGTAGCACCATAGTAGAGCGCTATGGCTGATAGTCACTCCATGCTGTAGTTGTAACTCCACTTGCAGGGAGGGAGTTCAGCCAGCATGATGCTGTGCTGCCAAAATATCTGCAACCTTCCCCATCTGCACTATGCAGGCATACTACTTGACAATTGTTGAAGGTGGAGCAGGGTGGGGAATAGGTACCAGGGGATGCAGCTGAGCTGTTGTACTTGACACAGCTTGGAACAGTCCCCTTTCCCTTACTTACCTGAGGGGGTACACTATCCTTATGTGCCTAGCTGGGGGTGTGGGGCTTCTATTGGTTTTACCTGTTAAGGTTCTTAGGAAAGCAGTGTTAGATATATGTTCTTCAGCTACATTTGTTCTCTCTTTTGGGGTCAGGGTTTTATTTTTGTGCAAAGTTCCCTTTATGCTGGAGTCTCATTACCAGAGTATCCCTCCTCCCAGTGTGTGTGTGTTCTGAGTGTACTCAACATGAGATCACAGAGGCATAGCCTTATGCCAGGTGCCCTGTTATCTTAACTATGGGCCTCTTGGCTGGCATTTATATAGTGTTTTGGAGGGCTGTGGTTGGCTGCAGGCATGGTAAACTAAGCTGTCAGAGACAGCACTTAGGATGGTACTACAGTATACTTCACAAGTATCATGAATACAACAGTTGCTGAAACACAACTGGTCATCCTATTACCTTTAACAATTCCAAAATATCCCAGTATATGAATATGTAAAATCCTTTGAGGTGGTTCTTCCAAAGGCCTAAAATAGGTTTTCAACTTATGAAATGTAGGGATTGTTTGTGTTACTGTGCAGTCATTGTATTTTTGAGTTCACCTGCGTAAAGGCTAAAACTGTACATGTTTAAAAAAGTGGGAATTTGGGAATCCCCGAGTTCTATTGAGTGATGATGGAGGGGATGAGAAAAACTTGCCTAATACACTAAGGTGACACAGCACTTTTTTAATATCTGGGAATATTTACAGAACATGAGTAAACCCTAAGCAACTAATTTGTGTGCCTGAAAGAATGCATATAAAGATTTGCTGCCTCCGTAGCTCATGGGGAAAAGGCTCACGTTGGCTCTGCTGTTATGTTTTAGAAAAGGCTGAACCAGACTGATGGAGTGTGAGACCAAGTTGGTTTTAATAGTTTAAAAATAAAACTAAATATGGAAATCTGCAGGGTGGGATTTTGGTACATGGTAAATATTTAGCTTAGTCAGCTATCTGTAAATTACAATAAAAGGTGGTCTTTCATCCAACATCTCTGATGATACAAGGCTCGGCAGTCCAGTGTCTTATGTTGACCTAAGATTTTGCAGTGTAGGGCTTTTAACTGTAGAAGTTTACAATTGGTATGTAAAATATTGATGTTTCTGTTGGCTACACTAAATATGTCTTACTAGATCAGAGGTTCAGTGGTATCTTAAAGACTAATGACATTTATTCCTGCTATTCCTTGCCTGACACGAGACATGGGTTTTTGTTATCATCTGATGCTACCACTTTTTGTTTTTATTGTCTGATGGTTTTATGTTGTAAGGTGCCCTGAGTCCACTTGTGGAGCAGGGTGGAACATAAAATAAATAACCTTTTGTTGATACATCTGATAAATTGAGCTTTGACTCAAAAGGTTCTCCTGGAATAAATTTTGTTAGTTTTGAAGTTGCCACTGGATTCCTAATCTGTTTTACAGCAGCAAATTTAAGATGGCTACGTTTATGAAATTAATGTCTTACGGAATTATATTTTTCATTATAGACATAAAGTCTTTCCGTTTAACGGTCCAGCGCCTCCACCATGTCGTCCAGACCTTTTGAAAGTCCGCCTCCTTATCGACCTGACGAATTGTAAATATCTACTTTTCTTTTTTTCGTGCCAATTCAAACTATTGCAGATAAGTTGTGTACACTGTTAGAGATATGAATTTGTGCAGCTTTCAATGCTACTAGTGTAAACTGTAATAGTGTCATTGCTGTAATTGTGCTGGATAGCACGTTGATTTAAACTGCACATTCTTAAAAGTGGGATCATTTACTGATTGTAAATAAGCAGGCCCCTTCTGAATTTGCAGACTCATGGTATATTCATGGTGGTTGGATCCAGAAGTTCTGTTAATTCTAACAGTGCAGCTATCAAGGCAAGGAACCTTCCTTTGGTAGAACACACCTTTTATGACAGAGTGGCTTCTTGCATCAGGAGAAGACTTCACAGTTAGTGGAGTGGAACCTTTAGAGCCAGTCCTCTGCATTTGATATTGAAGATTTGGTCTTTGATTCAAAGGCACAGTGGTACAGAATACTCTGCTCTACTGTTAAGGATGGCTTCTCCCTATATCGGACTGCTCACTGCCTTCCTTTTGGGTGGAATGCTTTGCTTCCATTTTTTCCTTGCAGCCTGTTCTGTAGGTGCTCCCAGCTTCTGGAACAGCTGGAAGGTGCCTTCTCTGATACTCCAAAATCGTGGTAAAATCCTGATACATGTGAAGGAAGCTGTAAACTTATTGCCATCTTAAATCTTTTTTCTCAAGGACATCCCCATCTGCTGAAATAATATCCTTAGGACTGGAGTGAAGGCTTCTGTTCTGCTAATGGTGGAGTCGTCCTCTGACAGAAGGAGTCTACCTTCCATTGCAAGAAGCCTTGCCCTGTCAGAAGAGGCATGTTCTCTGTGTCCATGAGGGCGCCACCGTTAGCAGAATGGAAACGTTGAATCCATCCCAGTGTATGTTTGTCATTACCTGTGTTGAGTTGCTCCTTTAAACTATGCTAGTGCACTCCATTTTAAAAATGCAATACCTTACTAAAAGTCTAAAGATTAGGTGTTGTACCCATTTTTAAAAAAAATAATTGGCTTGTAGGAATTTCTGCTTTGACTGCAGATTTAGCACCACACAGTGAGGCATATGGAAAAATTTGCATGTACTTATGAAGGTACAATTGTGTGGCTCTCCCCTTTAAAATCCATTAAAGTGGTGAGTGGGAAGTCTTTCTCCCTGTGCCATATGTTCAAAGGCAAAAGTTACCTTTATTTCTTGTTTTAGAGATATGTTGATGTGTAACTTGCCTTCCTCGAGAGAAATAACTCCCTTTTTTGGTTTGTCTATACATGCATGTGTACCCGCATTTTAGCCAGATAGCTTCCCAAGAGTAAAACAGGAGATCATTGTTACCTTCAAAACTAACAAAATTTATTCTAGCATAGGTGTTTTCTGCATGTTAATAAGAACATAAGAGACGCCCATGTTGGATCAGGCCAAAGGCCCATCCAGTCCAACACTCTGTATCATACATTGGCCAGAAATACCAGTGCCATCAGGAGGTCCACCAGTGGGGCCAGGACATTGGAAGCCCTCCCACTGTTAACCCCCCCCCCAAAAAAAGCACCAAGAAGACAGAGCATCACTTGCCCCAGAGTCCCTATCTATACCTCGTGGCTAATAGCCACTGATGGACCTCTGCTCCATATGCTTATCTAATTCCCTTTTGCTTGTAGCCGCCACCACTTCCTGTGGCAGTGAATTCCATGTGTTAATCACTCTTTGGGTGAAGAAGTACTTCCTTTTATCCGTTCTAACCCGACTGCTCAGCAATTTCATGGAGTACCCACGAGTTCTTGTATTGTGAGAAAGGGAGAAAAGTACCTCTTTCTCTACCTGCTCTTTCCCATGCATAATCTTATAAACCTCGATCATGTCACCCCTCAGTCGTCGTTTCTCTAAGCTAAAGAGCCCTAAGCGCTTTAACCTTTCCTCATAGGTAAAGTGTTCCAATCCTTTTATCATTCGAATTGCCCTTTTCTTACTGCTTTCTTAATACATCAGTAAGGGGTGTTAATGTCAGCTATATCTCTGTAACTTCTTATTGTTTCTGCTTATCTCAGTCCATCATGCATCAGGGTTTAGTTTTGCATATCTAACAGCAGTTAGGAGTGTCTCACACCCATTCTGAATGTACTGGTTATTCTTTCCCAAGACTGGATCTTACATTGAATTGTCCTCTTTGTAACATCTCTGCCCCATCCCTTTCTGTTGTGTATATAAATCAGCCTGATGGATGATATACATTATATGTTTAAGGAAATGAGTTCTGATGTGCAAAAGTTTGTGCAGGAATAAACTTGGTTGGGCTTTAAGGTGCCATGAGACTTGTGTCTTTATTCTGCTGCTACAGTCTAACATGGCTACCTATCTGGATTTCCTTCAAGCAAAAATTGCCGTGTACACTGGCTCTCCCCTTGGGTCCCATCAGAAGCCAGGAAGCTTTGGGGTCACTAAGATGATTGAAGTGTTCCCCAGAAGCCTCCTGCCAACCCAGCTGTTGTTGCAAATGCTGCTGATCTTTCAGCTTCCTGTTGTATGCTGATGGGTTTTAGCCACTCTATGATACAGAGTGTTGGACTGGATGGGCCATTGGCCCGATCCAACATGGCTTCTCTTATATTCTTATGGTGTTAACATGCACATACCATAAATTAGCTAGATTGGAGTCCAGTAGCAGCTTAAAGACCCTTTGTCAGAGCTTTGACTCTGCTGCAGATTAACACAGCTACCCTCTGAAATACCATAAACTGCATATTTCATAGCAAATTCTAGATGGGGGAGAGAGGGGGGGAGAGAGAGAGAGAAATCAAGCATGGTTTTTGAAAGAATCTATAGAAATGCCCTTGGTATTTCGTGACACCTCTATAAGAGGTGAACAACTGTTCCTAGCTGATGGCAATGTTTTTTGTCTTTGTAGCAAACCTTCAAACTATGCACCAAGTAATAATACATACGGTGGTGAATTCCATTCTCAGCCCATATTCTCCCAGCCAGCATATTCTTACTATCCGGAAGAAAAAGTACAGCACTTCTACAAATGGACGTCCCCTCCAGGAATAATCAAGATCATGTCGATTCTCATAATAGTGATGTGTGTTGGTGTCTTTGCTTGTGTTGCTTCCACGCTACCTTGGGACCTAGACGTGTATGGAAGTACTCTGGGGACTGGTATGGGATATCCGAGCTATGGTGGATCTGGTTTTGGAGGCAACTATGGTTACGGCTATGGAAGTTATGGCTATGGAGGGAGTGCTTATGGCCTTGGAGGGAATTATATTGAACCTCGGTCTGCAAAAGGCTTTATACTTGCAATGACAGCATTCTGCTTTATTGCTGGACTCATGGTTTTTGTAACAGGCGTTACCAAGAATAGCATGGCCAGAACAACAAAGTATTATCTCATAATCATCATAGGAAGTGCTATCTTGCTGTTCTTGATGTTCATTGCCACCATAGTGTATGTGCTGGCAGTCAACCCAACTGCACAAGCTTCGGGATCGATATTCTACAATCAGATTTCTGCCCTGTGCAGCCAATTTTATGTTACAACAAATACTGCCATCTTTGTGAATCAGTATTTGTATCACTATTGTGTGGTGGAACCTCAGGAGGTATGTATACACTTAACATAATTGCTGAAGCATTTCCAAAAGCAAAACCTCTAGCTGTATTTGAACCCTGATCTGGCTACTGTTAGATAATTATGCTGGAACAAATAAAGCTACTATTGTAAACAGACTGAATTATTTGGATGACGTGTACTAGTACCTGTTTGGTACTCCATTTTAAGCTTTACAGCAATGCACTTACTCTCCCCCTTTATGATGGGGAAAATGGAGAAAATGGAAAGGTCTTGAATTTCACTTCCATGAATTGTTCTCTCTAGAAAATTTCCGCAGTTTATCTCTAGACTTAAATTTATTTAAATTACGAGGTGAAAGCTTGTATTTAAAGAGAACAGATGGCTATGTAATCCAAGGGTGAAGCATGGAAAATCATGCTTAAACCCTCTCTGAGATACAACAGGCACACAGAATCTCCCTCCTTTTTAAGCATGTGTAGTTATAAACCAGGGGAGCTGCGGTGGCTCAAGTGGTTAAGATGCTAAACTGCAGGCTGTGGAAGGTCGGAAGTTCAGCAGTTCGAGACCCAGGGTGCCGCATGACGGAGTGAGCTCCCATCTCTAGCTCCAGCTCCTGCCAACCTAGCAGTTTGAAAGCAAGAAATTGCAAGTAGATAAATAGGTACCACTTCGGTGGGAAGGTAACAGCGTTCCGTGCACCTTGGTGTTTAGTCATGCCGGCCACATGACCACAGAAACGTCTTCAGACAGCGCTGGCTCTTCGGCTTTGAAACAGAGGAGCACCGCAACCCTAGAGTTGACTGGCTTTTACCTAGTCATAAACCATCTCGGTTCAATAGGGTTTGCTTCCTGAGTATAAATTTAGGATTATAGTCTCATTTGCTTTTTAGGCAGGTAGATAATTGTGCCACCTGAAGCAGTTAACACCTTTCTAAGGGTGAGAAGAGACTGGCCTTGCCTGTACAACTTTATTTCAGAGATCAAAGGAAAAGAATTAAGCAAAGAAAACAAAAAACAAAACCCTGTTACAGAGGTGCTGACTTTCCCTGGGGCTATTTCTTGCTGTGCTGTTTGTACTGAGGGACATTTCAGAGTACTTGGTGCTCAAGAAAACAGCATTGTTTTTGAATGGTGACTAGGTGTATAAATGCTGGCTTTTGCCAGTGAAACATGTGTGTTGCCCTAGGGTGCCTTATTTTCTGAAGTGCTTGCTTGAGTTCAACTAATGGCCAATTGACAATGGAAGTTAAAAATTATCCTTTAATTATTGGGAGAACAACTCACTCTCAGCCTTTAATGTGTTATCTCTATGAGCCTTCAAACTGACAGGCTTTGGGATGACTTGAGGAAATTGTCTATGTTAAAGAAATTTCTACCCGCGCTGAAGTGCGGGTTGAAGCCTACAGCACTTTGTATAGAAATACTTCACAAATACAAGAAAATAAAACAAAAGTCTAGTGGCCTCTTAATCCTTTCAACAATCCTGGGAAGCATTATTATTAGTGGGAACGGTATCTAGGGAAACAGCTCCCAAAGCCACTGTGACTGAAGTAAGTTGTCAGTTCTGATCCCTCAGATGTATTCACTGGCTCCGCCTGTGCTTTTAGTTTAAGAGGAACAGGCCTATTTAAGAATATTATTTTGTTTATTTAAGAAGAGATAGATTTAAGAATATTAAGGCCTATTTAAGAATATTGTTTGTGTCTCAGGTGAGTGTAAAATGGAATAAAACATCAGTATCTGTTCCTTTCCCAGGCTATTGCTATTGTCTTAGGATTCCTGATTGCCGTAGCTTTTATCATCATAATATTATTTGCGGTAAAGACACGGAATAAGATGAATCACCATGGTAAAATGAATATCCTATGGGATAATACAAAAGATTATGAAGAAGCTCCCAATGTAGAAGAATGGGTGAGTCAACTTGTTTTTGGAACCATTGTCTTTGTAGTGTATTAATTTGTAGTTTCTACAAAATTGGACTTACTCTTCCTCTTTGGTTTTCTGCAAGGTAGTGTTTGTTAAACCACTTTCTTAGGACTGTTTGTCAATGTAGCTGTTGTAGGGTTAATTGATATTAGGAGGCCAGGGCAAGCGTACTTTTTCAGGCCAGTGTGCACCATGCTTTTGGAAAGTAGGTTGTCATAGAAGGGTGGTATCAAGCAAAATTTCAGTTTGTACTCAAAACGAGACCGCAAGATCAGTAGTTCACGATGACAATAGTAGACTCTGGGCAGAGAGAGAGCGCTGTAGGCAGAGTAGCTGAGTGAATGGTCTCTTGGTTTATGTTGCTGTTTATGAAACCTAAATGCCTTTTGGGAACTTTTTTAGTTTTTTATATCCCAGTCTTAATTATCCTCTTTTTAGGTAACTGTGCTACTGTAAAGATGAACATTTACAAATCTTGCCCTCAAGTAAAAAAATACAAACCGCCCAGCTTATTTAAGATGGAAATGCTTGTTTAACTAGCTGACTTCAAGGTCTGTTTATGTTTTTGTGACCTCCGGTATTGCTATATTTTTGAGTGTGTGTGTAGTATTCAGTGTGCACTGAGTTTTTTAATGAGTCTCATGAGATGTTGACTGTTTTGACCTTTATTTGGTGGCTTGGCATAAAGAGGCTCTGACTACTTCATACACTGCTTTAAATAATATGAGGTAAATGTTTCAGTGAGACAGTTTCGGGGCGTGTTCATTACTAGCTAATGAAATTGTTTACTCATGTTTCACTCAGGTAGGAAAAGAGCAAGTCAGGAACTCTAGTTCAAACAAAAAAAAATCAGTGGCTCTTTGTTTGGTTATGCCTCAGCAGCTATCTTCAAGTATGCAGCTGGTGTAGAAACTTGTGTAACTTTTGATACCTAAGCTGGCTTTGTGTGAGGAAATGCATTTGTTAATGCTTTGGGAGATGTGTCTGTTGTTTGCACTAGAGAGAGTTGGTAATTTTCTGTCTGATCTGTGTTTTTGTCTTAGAGTACTTTCAAATGTACCCAGAGCAAACCCACCACAACTTATTAAGAGAAACCCATACGCAGCCCTAAGGGAGACAATTTATAGATTACGTGCCATGCTCAACTTGTTGCAACCTGTGACTGTGGCTGACAAAAGTAATTTTTGAGGATCAAACAGAGGGCAGTGGAGCTGGATTTATGTAGCTTTCTAGGTGTCCTTGAAACTGCCTGCCTCAGCTACAGACCGTAACAAAACAGTTGTTATTGCTGAATAATATACTGGGCAGTAGGCCAGGTTGGGGAGATGTGGGCTACTACAGGGTTCACAGAGTAGACCTAAAAGTGTTGCTTGCCACCACCACAAGAATAAGGTGTGAACAAAAAGGGAATGATATTTGTCATAATGACAGGTTTTGATTCAACCCTTGTCGGGTATAGACTCTAGCACCCAGAGCTGGACTAAATACTCTCCTGGCTTCACTAGGCTTCAGTTTCCCATACTGTCTGAATAGGATTAAATCAATGAGTAGAATTCTGGCTTGTGCAGAGGAAATAAACTCCTGTTCACCAAGGTGTCTGCAATTCAGACATGTGCTAATTCAAGCTCTGTGTACTACAAGGAAGGGAGGTGAAAGAGCACATGGTTCACACAAGCACAGCAGCAAAGCGTGTTTGTGCCCAGAGTCAGAATCTAATTGCAACTTGTGATGTCTGATTGCAGCCTTGGCAGAAACATTGGGTGTGCTTTTTAAAAAGTGTGTGTACTTTCTGTTTTTTGTTAGACTTTCTTGCCCTGTTGTGCTATGATGCCCTGTGTATTTAAGGAAGCATTCATACATGTTTAGCTCTGAATCAGCATTATGACTTTCTAACACAAAGTTTTGACTTTTTCCCCTAGGAAGATCTACTGTGTCATCTTTCAGTCAATGTGTGATAGTACAAAAATATGACACTATGTTGATGGCCTCTGCCAAAGGCACAAATTGAACCTTGACAGGAAATAGGAATTCTTTACTTTGTATGGCCCCCCAGCCTCATAAATCCAGTCTCTAATTTCCTTCCATTTCTAATTGTATCTGACAAAAGATTCCTAATTCGTAAATAAAAATTGGCCACCAATTTAAAGTCTTACTGGGTTAGAGTAAAAGGTAATTCATATGTGGTTATGTGTGTCTGTATATATATACACACACAGAGATATTTGAAGCAAATGTGATTCTTAAAATACTTTAACTTGATTTCATATGATTTTAGTATCTGGTGACTTAATTAGTGCGGTAGTACAATATATTTACTTAGCCCTAAGTATTTACCATTTATTTTTGCCCACAGCGAAACTCTTCGGTATGTCTTATGGGATGCCAGTTTATGCCAGCCCTCTATGTGAACCAGCATATATATATATTGCTTTAAGAAGTGCCCACAGTCTTAACCTTTCAGTATGGTTTGGCAAGTAGGTTTTAAACCAGATGTACAAAATGAAGTATCCACAAGAGTAGAGCGTCGGGACTTCCAGAACTTGCATCTCTAGTTTGCTGAGATGTACTGAATTCTGTACATGCACTTGTGGCCATTTCACACTTGAACCAACCTAAATTTGTCCACCAAATAGGAATCTGTAGCCAACTGTTGTCTCCTGATTAGTGTACAATGGTGGTGGCTTTAATGGTTTTAGGTGTCAAACAGCCCACCATAAATGTGAACCAGAAAATTGTAGTTCTATATGCTCTGGCTTTACTTTATTTAAGGATCATTTTATGTAGTTTCAAATTACCCAGAGAGCAGGAGGATGAGTTGCTACAGCTTTTATGGTTGCTTGTTCAGAGAAACAGTCCGTGAACAATGTTTGCCATCATACTGATGTGTTGTTCCTTTCCTTCCTTCTGTTAAAAAGCCAGGTGGGCTGAAATAGAGCAACCAAATTTATATTATCAAACAGAGTTGCAAAAAACCTCGCCACTCAAAAACTAACATCAGAATCAAAATCTGAAAGAAGCCAGATAATCTTAGATTCAACAGTCACACAAGCATCAGAAATAGATGAAAGAAGGGGCAAGAGGAATATTCCTGTTTCTGTTCTCAGAGGGCAATCAAAGACAATGTGAGCTATATTAGTTATTGGATGCCAGTAATCCAAGAATCCTCCTCCCAGGCAAATTCCACATTTTGTGAATGCTTGTTTAATTTATTTATTATTTAGTTGCTTATACGTACCTTTCTCCCCAATGGGGAACCCAAATGGTCTACATTGTTCTTCTCTTATCCATTTAACTTCACAACAGCTATATGTTTAGACTGAATTGTATGTGACTCCCCAAGATCACCACCCAGCAAAGCTTCTGTTGCACAATGGGGATTCAAACCTGGGTTCCAACACTAAACACTATGTGCACACACGGTAAAGTCATGCAAGTCCCTTCTGTAGGGGGAAATCTACTGCTTTTGTAGCTTAAATGAAATTGTAGAACAAGTTTAGTGTATTCAGGCAAACTACAGCTGTCAGTGAGAATGATGGGAGCAAGAGAAAGAAGGGAGTGTGGTGAGGCTGATAGGAATATAATACCTGAGGACACAAGCTAATACTATGCTTCACTTAATTTAGTTAACTAATTGGAATCTGCAAAATTATAGCAAAGTAGGTCACTGTGCTGGAAAAAACTAAGATAAAAGTTGTAGCCCCGGGTAACACGCCTCTTTGGGGTCTGTGGAATTGCATCCCAACTGTTCCCTGCAGTCTTTCAACATCTACCACTAACACAGGCCTTTCCAAATACCTGATGCCTAAATGAGTGTTAGCACAGGGAAAAAATGGAGGTGTTCAGCACTCACATTCAATTTTTTAAAAAATCATGTTTTTCATCAGACCTGAAATAATGGGCAGGCATTCTCTTTTAGTACAGTTTAGTCCAGTTAATACGGCAACTGATGGGTAGTAGAGTCATGCAGACAAAAGAAAGTACTTCATACAATGTACCATTAAGTTGTGACACTCTATCACAAGATGGTGTTTAACTTAGGTTGGTTTTAAAACACAAATTCATGGACTATATCAGTTGATGGTGAGGGCAACAACAGGGACACAGAGGCTGAAGCCTCCCCCTGCTTTTGGGTTTTCTGGGATGTCTGGTTGGCCATTTTGGGACTGCTGGACTAGATGAACCTTTGGTCTGATCCTGAAGAGCTGCTCTTATAGTCTTATGTAATATTGGCTCCTTGGGAGTGGCAAACCTATGTCCACATCTCTCCATTGTTAGAGCACATTGATGGGGCTGTGCAAGTTCTGTCAGCTATACTGTGGATGATTTGGAGAGTCCTAGTGTGTCCTTAGTGTCATAGAATGGTGTTAATGTCCTTGTGGAGCTGAAGAGTGGAGTCAGACCTTCCTACTCAGAGTATAAAATAGCGGATGAAACTGACAAGCTGGCGTAATTATTTTTGAAGTATACCGCAACCTTTCCTTATGGCACATCAGTGTGCCTTTTGTTTGAGAATGGCTCTTCTTGCATCTTAAGGACTAGTATGGAAGTCTTGTACCCATTCTGAGTGAACTGATTACTGTTGTGAACCAGCCTCTTTTGTAAGACTCCCCCTCTGTATAAGTAAATCAGCCTGACGGTTGTATTCCCCAATGGTATGTGATGTGTGTGCCATCAAGTCACTTTCAACTTTTGGTGACTCGATGAATTAATGACCCCCAAACGTCCATCATCAACAGTTTTGCTCAGGTCTTGGAGACTGAGGGTTGTGGAATCTTTGAGTCAATCCATCTCATGTTTCTTTCTCTTTTGTCGCTGCCTTCAACTGTTCCTAGCATTACTGTCTTTTCCAGTGACTCTTGTTTTTTCATGATGTGACCAAAGTACAATAGTCTCAGTTTAACTGTTTTGGCTTGCAGGGAGAGTTCAGGCTTGATTTAATCTAAAATCCAGTTATTTGTCTTTTGGCGATATCTGTAAAATTATCC